CTCCCTCCATGTACGTACCTGTTTTTTCTAGAACATTGGCGTCGGTTGTAGACGTGACGCCCTTTGCCCCTAACTGCTCGAGCGGGGCTTCCCGCCAAGCATGGGCTGCCTTGTGCCCCGGGGGCGTGATGGTCGAGGTGCTGCTGACCCGAGGCTGTTAGCCGATCCGCTGCTGGTTCACGGCCCACCTGCTGTTCAGGAGGAAAGTCTGCATTCTGGGTTGTGTCCCTTTGGCCTCCCCTGTCTTCAGTAGTTCCTTATTCTGTCTTTATCTGTCATAACCTTGGCATTTCTTTTTTTTAAGAGAGAGAAATTTTTGCTATAGGGTGAGTGTGCTCACCAGAGAGACAGAGAAAAACAGAGAGACAGAAAGCGAGAAATCACCCCCACGAGGGATGGCCATGCTGCAATCCTTCTCCTTCAGTCTCCTCTCGGGATTTTGGGCACGCACGCCCACAAGCCTAGCGGAGGAGAGGGTCTTCGGGGGACTCCCTTTGAAAGGGCAGACTAGAGAGAGTGGCCCAGCCAGTGGGGAATCACAGGTACACGGGTCCCACAGAGTGGAGTTGGGGTACCGGGTACACAAAGGCTGTCCGAGGGTGCTGATGGTCAGCACCCAGGAACCTTGGGGGATTTGGAGGCCAGTGGGCTGATGTAGTCCCCTGCCCTGGTCAGGGAGGGTGCCACCACCCTAGTTCACTGCTCAGGAAACAGAACAGGATGCCGGGGCCCTTTTCAGACTGCCCTGCTCTGCCCCGGTCTGTCCCCAAGTCCACACTGCTGGCACCACATCACACCCTTCCTGGGAGAACCGGGCTCCTCTCGCCTGAATCTGACCTTTGGTGGCAAGGCTCTGCCTGGCTCAGCATCCCCTCGACAGCTCCAGGGAGCAGGTGCAGGCAGACGGAGACCATGGCTGCAGGTCCTCGGAGAGCCCTGATGCCCAGGGTGAGGTTTGCCCTCATGCAGAGATGACCTGGGTCTCTGCAGCGCCCCCAGAGGAAGGTCTCAGAGCCCCACTGAGCATTTCACAGCCAGGGCAGAGCTGACACTGCCCCCTGGCCAGGCTCACTGCCTGAGCTTTCTTTTTCTGGGAAAGCCACCTCCGAGTTTGTCTAGGTTGGTGGCAGGAGGGTGAGCTGGGGCACCCGCACCAGCCACAGATGCTCGCTGCTGCACCCCCGCTCCTCTTAGGGGGCCTCTAATTCATTCTCCGAGTGGTCTCCTCGCAGTGCAGTGGGCAGGAATCGGAAAGCTGCTCTGGGAATAGCAGGCTCCAGGGAGCCGGGCTGCAGGGAGGCACAGGAGGGAGACGGCGGAGGCGGCTGCTTCACACTCTGTCACCATGCAGGTAGCAGTTTCCTTTTGAAGGACTGGGAACGTGACCTACTTCCTCCCAAGGGGATGCTGCCTCAGCCCGTAGATGGGAAATGCAGGGGAAGGCTGTGTTTGCGCAGGAGCAAGGAGAGGGGGCCGTGCCCTCTTGCTGCACGTACTGGCTCCCTGCTTACAGCACCCCTTGCTCAGCTTCTCCCTCTGGAAAACCCCTCTGAATTTTTGCAAACCTGCTGGAGGGACACCCCCCACCCCCACAGCCTTCACGGTCCCCCCAGGCAGAGCTGCCTGAGTCAAGTCTCAGCCTTCTCAGCTGGACCCTGGTCAGTCCCGGCTGTCTGAGACAGGAGCCACGTCTGGTCTGCATAGGCCACATCCTCAGCCAAAGTGGCTCAAACACGAGGGTGCTCAGAACACCACATCAGCTGTGGGATGTGGCAAAAGTAGTCCACTCGTGGGGCCTCGGTGTCTCCATCTGACAGCAGGGCCAGCAGGCCACAGCTGCTTCCACAAGCCCCAAGTCCCTCATGTGGACAAGCTGGTAATCCGCACTGTGACAGAGGCAAAGTGACTTCCCCAGGGTCTCACAGCTGTAGGGGAGCAGGAAACCTCCTGATTCCTCTTTTGCGGATCAGATGTATACGTGTGCATGCGTGAATGTTTGTGTGCATCTGTATATATCTGCCCACCGTTCTGCTGAACTTGAGGTTGAGGGAAGGGGTCTGCGGTATAAGCAGACTGTTTTGGGACATGCTTCTCTCTCTCCTCTCTCTTATTTGCATGCACACACTCTCTTTGTGGCTTTTTTAAAAAGGAAATAAAAACAAGGACTTTGTCAGACAAACAGACATGGAAGAAATGTGTTGCCAGTAGACCTGCCTTGCAAGACACGCTCGAAGTTCTTCTATGACAAGAGAGCGATACCGAGCAGAAGCTCAGCTCTCCTTAACGAAGGGAGGAGCGGGGAGTGAGAAAGCAAAGGGAAATGAAAACTTCGGGTTTCTTTAGTCATGATTGATCTAGGAGCGAACAATTTGTCCAGAATAATAAGAGCAGCAGTGTAAATAATTCTTAACACACACACACACACACACACACACATGTACAAACACGCACACACACATGCACAAACATCACACACAGACACACACATGCACACACATACAAACATGCACACACACACCCACACATGCGCACACAGACATACACACACATATGTACACACACACTTTTATATGAGATGAATGACAGTGACGATACGAAGGACAGGTGGGAGGAATTAGGGATTTTGTTATTATACCATCCTAGCACCAGTTGTAAAGCACTGTGTTGTTATTTGAAGGTGGACTTGAATTCATTATAAATGTACATTGCTGTACTGTTCTAAAAACAGTTTTATTAATATTTGGAAAAAAAAAAACAGAGACCAGCAGATGGCATAATGGTTATGTCACCGGATTCCCATGTAGTCGCCCAGGGTTCAAGTCTTGGACCCAGAGACTTAAAACTCACGCTGGGTATGTGTGCATGTGTGCCCAAAACCCTCAGAGGAGAGTGGAGGAGAGGAGATCATGACATGGCCACGCCTCCGCGGGGTGCTTTCTCATTTTCTGTCTCTCTGTCTCCATCTCTGGTGAGTGCATGCACCCTATAGCAAAAATTTCTCAAAAAATTTTTTGAATAACATAGAAATACTGATATATGCTGCAAAGTGGATGAAACCTGGGATCATTATGCTAAATCAAAGAAGTCAGTCGCCGAAGTCCAAATATAATGCGATCCCATTTATATGATGGTCCGGGGTAGGAGAGTCTATTATTTTTATTATTTTAAAAGGTTTTTACCATAGGGCGCGTGGGTTTGCCAGAGAAAGACAGAGAGAGAAAGTGAGGGGGAAGTGAGAAATCACCCCCTAAGGGAGATGGCCACACCACAGTCCCTTCTCCATTCTCCTCCTGGGATTTTGGGCATGCATGCACATGCACCTGGAGTGATTTTCAAGCCACCAGTTCCAGGACTTGAACCTTGGTCAGCCATGTGGGAATCCAGCACTGTAACTGCTGTGCCATCTGCTGGCCCCCAGAGTAGGAGAATCTAGAAACAAAAAGGATGTTACTGGCTTGGGGCTGTAGAGAGGAGTTGTGGCAGCGAGGGGGTCCAGGGCTTCTTCTGAGATGATAAAAATGAACTGAGGTGTCTTAACTATTGTGAGGACTGCAGCCAAAATCCACTCCGCTCTATCCTTGGAGTAGACGAATTACATACCATGTAAATTACAACTAAAGCTTTTTTTCTGAGAGAGAGATTTTTGTATAGGGCACGTGAGCTTGCTGGAGATATTCAGAGAGACAGGGAGACAGAAAGCGAGAAATCACTCCCCATGGAGGATGGCCACACCACAATCCCTTCTCCTCCATTCTCCTCTCTAGATTTTGAGCACACACGCACATGCACCCTGTTTGAGTTTTTTGTTTTATTTTTATTTTTGGAGAGGTTTTTGCTTTAGGGTACATGTGCTTGCCAGAAAGACAGAGAGAGACAGAGAGAAAGAAAGCGAGAAATCACCCCCCAGGGGGGATGGCCATGCCGCAATTCCTTCTCCATTCTCCTCTTGGGATCTTGGGCACACATGCACACGTGCCCGGCATGAGTTTAAGCCACCGGGTCTGGGACTCGAACCAGTTGATTACGTGAGAGTCTAGTGACATAACCATTACACTAACTGCTGGTCCCAGCTATTTGAGTTTTTTTAAGCTGCCGTGTCTGGGACTTGAACCACGGTTGACTATGTGGGAGTCCAGTGATGTAACCGTTATGCCATCTGCTGGTCCAATAACTAACATTTTCTAAAAAATAAACGTAGGGGGTGGTGGTGCCTGACCTATGGCAAAACAAAACAAAAATTAAATAAACATAACCACAACACCAGCAGAGTAAAAAAGAAGGAAGAAATGAACACCAGAGAGAGCAGTAAGCCTAAGTGAACCCTGACAGCGTAAGACAACCCTAATAACGTGCCCTGAGGCCTTAAAAATAAATGTAGAATGAAAATACACGGAAACCATAATAGAAAAGTCAGGCGGGGACAAATGGCGTCGGAGTGTTCAAAAATATTAGCGAGGCGGATAACGGCACAGACCGATGAAGTCAGGCAGGACAGGCAGCACTAAGAAGCTATATGGCTCTTAATTTAGATGAAACAGTAATCAAAAAAAGGCCAAGAAATGCAAGAAAAAGAATCAGTGTAGGCAGAGGGGAAAAAACTATCCCTAATTATATTAAATGTAAATAAACGAAATCATTCTTTTAAAAGATTGGAACTGTCTGACGAAGGGAAAACACACAAAACCCAACCATATGCTGTATATAAGGCTTGCATCTAAAATATAAGAAAATGGGAATGAAAATGAAAAGAAACCCTGTAGATGTGCTGACCAAGGAAATTAACTACATTTCTGTGAGACTTTAAGGATATGCAAGCGTCCGCGACATCCTCGTCTGTAGTCTCCCAGTCTGAGATCAAGCCCCGCCATTCCCGGAGTACGCGCTCTCGTAGTCACACAATGCAAACGAATGACTCCAGCTGACTCGCCACCACCCCTTGGAGGGACCTTACACATCATGTTGAGCAGAACAGACTAAGATGCAAAAGAACACAGGCAGTCTGATTCTCTAAATAATTTTACTTAGGGAGGCATACCTAGGCATCTACACTGTGGAAAAACACGTAGAAGTGATTATCCTTCCACCGGAAGGCTTCGTGTGGTCTGCCCATGCTAAGAATTCTTCCCACAGAGGTGCAAAGAGGGTTTTGGCGAGTTTTGTATCTGGATGGGTCAAGGCTCTGCCCGTGGATTGAAGGACCAGGGCGAGGAGGGGAACTTCAGGGGCCAGGGTGGGCCTGGACAACCACCGTAACTGGAGACTTCTTTGACCACTTCTTGCCAAGGGCAGGGAAGGTTCTGAGAGATGGGGTCACAGGGGCAGAGCTAGGGGTGAAAGAACCAGGCTGCCCTTAGCCCGCAGCCTGGGCTGTCTGGTCCAGTGGGCCAGCACTGCAGGCCTTCGTAGCCCGTATTAATGTCACATGATGTTAGTCCCAGCCGGTGGACCCACTGCAAGTCTGCAGTCATGCAGTCCACAGGGCATGGACTTGAAGGGGTTCAGGTCAGCTCTCCCCTCGGTGCACCAGGTGAGGGTGCCCCATTAACACCTGAGTTGAGGAGCAGTTAGGATGACAGGGTCTAAGGCTCTTTCTAGAATGAGGCCAGCCTAGACAGGGGTCTCAGTAAGAACAGGATTGTCAACAGTGGCTTCAGCTCAGGTTCTGCCCCCCACCCCAAGCCCCCAAAGTGGGTTAAATGCCCACACCTCCTGTTTCTGGTGGGACCGCATCTGTAGCAGGTTAGGAGTTGACACAAGTGAGTGGTCCCACTCAGACCACCTCAGGCCACTTCCTGACGCTTCAAGTGGCAGGGTGGGACCTGTGGGGTATCTCACTTGCCTGGTAATTCTTGCCGAGTGAAGATAATGCATGGCTTCCCTCCTTCCTGCCCTCCTGCCCTCTCTTCCTTATCTCAGTTATTCTTGGTCCACACCGGGATCTAAGTTGCAGATGACGAATACATCTTTCTTGAGCAGAAAAGTGGTTTCTTGCAAGGCTACTGGTTGGTAGCTTGTGGAGTGGCCTGAAGGTGAGGCCAGGGGCTCCAGAGCGTGGAGAGGCCATCCCGAGGGTACAGCCTGCAATGCTGCTGCGGCCCTGGCTGTTACTTGCCACCAGACTGCTGGAGCCTCGACTCCACACTGCTGCGGCCCGCTGCTCAGTGCCCCTGAGGCCACCGCCCTGGTGATGCAATGACATCGGAAGGACTTTTGTTTCTCTCTGTCCTCATCCTGGCCTGAGTCTTAAATGGGGTCACCGGGGGAACTGCGGGAGCCAGGAGGACACACGGTTTCCATAGAAAGATGGGGCTCTCAGCACACGCGCAGTGGCCCTTTCTCCAAACCCTGGGAGGGTGCTCGGGCACGGGGCAGACCGAGCAGACAAAGCAGGCTGAGCAGATTGCTCGATGGCCAATCTGTGCCGGGCACTGAGGGTGAGAGGAGGGTGCCCCTGCCAGGGGGGCGTGGGGGTGACAGATGCACGAACAGCTGCAGCACAGGGCACAAAGGGCCACGTGTTAGGACGGAGAGGGCAGGAGTCTAGCCTCAGTTTCCCATCTGAAATAAGACTCCGCGCTGTGAAGACGAGAAGCACTGTGGGTAGAGGACTTCGACTGCGTCGGCCTGAGTAGTCCTGCACTGATGGCGGTAGTTGGGAATGTCACTCTCACTTTGGGTCTCCGTGGCTCTTCCCATACTTCTGCAGGGCACAAGAGTGAAGCCGGCCCCCTGGACCTGACACTGACTAGTTAGAGGGCCTCGGGGGACTGACCTGATCGCTATGTGCCTCAGTTTCCCCATCTGCGACATGGGAATGGTCAGGTGTCACTCTCAGGGTTGCTGTGAGGATGAAATGCGTAACTATTTACAAGGTCTCCGAGCCGCACTGGCAGGCAGTTAGGGTCCTAGTAAGTGCCGGTCATTCCTATTTTCCGGAGGTCCCCTGTGGCACAAGCCATGGCAGACTCCAGACAGCCCTGTTTTGAACAGCGGCACCAACTGTGTGTGACAACAAGGGAGGGGCACAGAGCAGAGTCGCTAAGCCAGAGTGAGCTGCCGATGGCACCAGCAGCCCTGAGTGGACAGGTCCAGACCCAAGCATGCAGCCGCTGTGAGCCTGCACCCCTCCATGTTGCCTGTTTGCCCTGAGTCCCACTGATGCCCACGGCTGTGCCTTGTGAACCCACTATCTTGATTTGGCCTCCTCGCAGTTTTCCATGCACGTCCGGTCACACTCAGTGGAACTCGACTGAAGACTTCAGAGATGGCAGCTTGGCGTCCCGCTGCCCCTGCCCTCGCTCCCTGTAAGCTTGTGGGGCAATGCTGTCTGGTCTCCCTTTCCAAGTCTCCCCTCTGGCCTGCTTTCCCCTTCCTCTAAGACAGTGATTCTCCACCAGGGGTGGCCTTGCCCCCAGGGGACACTTGGCAATATCTGGGGACATTTTTTATTGTCACAATGGGTGGAGAGGGAGAGGCGTGCACCAGTGTTTGCAAGAAGTTAGGGAAGCTGCAAAAGCCACCAAAGCACACGGCGGTTCCCCCACAACAGAGAACCGGCCAGGCCAGCGAAGAATGTCCACGTGAAATATGCGTTTCAACGATAAGGCTCATTCTAACTTCAGAAGACGTTCAGCCAAGGCCGGAAAATCCCACTCTGGGAACTGCGCCGAATAAAATGGTCTCTGTCTTGCTCCAGTGCGAGGGTATAACTAGGCAGGCCGAAAGCACTCCCTCGTGCCCAAAGATGATCGCAGTCTACATTTTGGCCTCCTTCCAAACGTCTCTTTGTATTTGCACGTGGATGTATAGATGGGTGTAATTCCCTGGAAGTACACTCCCGTTACATGTGCCGTCGTGTGACCTGTTTTGCTGCCCCTCAGTGACACACCACGGGCAGATTTCCCCTCCGGCCGCCCGTTAACAACTGCAGATGTGCAACATCCTTTTTAGAAGTCCGCGTGGCATTCTGAAGTAGGGATGTAATGCTTTATTTAGACAGCCCCTTATTGATGGGTATTTAGCTCTTCTCCAGTATTTCGCTGTTATAAACAAGAGCGTGATGAATACCCTCGTATACACATCTTAGTATACTTGTCTGAGTAAATCCTTAACATAAATTCTGAGAGCGGAATTGCTGGCCAGGGAACTATATGTCTTTTTAGGACTTTAGCTACTCTGTGCAGATCTGCCGCTTGAAAAGGCATATTTATCTGTACAACCTCCACCTCTACCAGGGCATGGGGTGTCTGTCTCCCGGCCCCTTTATCCACGCTGGGTATTAGTAATTGTCTTAATGGACAAAAACAGGTTTTTAAAGCACTCCCAGAGAATAGCCAGTAATGCCCAACGCTAAGTGTCTGAAGTTTTTCTTTGGCGGTTGAATCCTGCCAAGGGATTTGATGTAAGCCTTCTGGAGCCTGATTTCTGTCTTCCTTCCCTGAGCCTCCCTCCCCTCACGGGCTCCCCAGCTAGGCCAGGACAGATAGAGGAACTTGGTGAACAGCCAAGTCAGACAGGAGGCAGAAGAGTAAGGGGAAAAGCTTGAATTGCGGGAGCAAAATGGGGTCTGTACCTTGGGCCTGGGGCCACCCCTTACCCTGAGGTTCTCTCTGCTTGTCTGGGAACTCTCCCTGGTCTCCCTTTGTCTATAGCTGCTCCACACTGCTCTGTCCCCTGATTTTCAGGAGGAAAAGCAGGAGCGTGTTTCCATCAAGACAGTTTCTACCTACGGCCTTGACCTGAAGCCTGCTGCTTTTCTGCGGGAACTGAGCTGCTCTCTCTGCCCAGAGAGGACTTACGTAGCAGCAGCTCACACACACGGAGCGCTGTCAAGTTCACCGTGCACGGGTGTTCCTGTGTTTGTGGTTTCCACGATTTCTCCCAACAACCACATGAAGCAGCTATTGTTTTTATTTGGATTTCTTTTCTGTCCTTGATTTTTGACAGAGGGCATGTGCAAAGCCACGCCACCGTCTCGTCTCCATCTCTCCTTTTGGGGTTTTGGGCACGCAAACAAATGCACCTGGCATGTTTCTTAAGCCTGAGAGTCTGGGACACGAACTGCATGGCTGACCATGTGGGATCCAGCTGCCTTAATCACTGAGCCATGGGCTGGCCCACGTTATTCTTATTCTTGCCCCTATTTATTTCGATGCAGCAACTGAGGCCGAGAGAGGAAGAGACTGGGCTTGGTCCCACGGCAGGTGAGCAGTAAGGCAGGCAAAATTGGAACTTAGACCTTCGGTTTAAAAATATAGCTGAGATTTATTTTACTCAGGTAGAGGAAGACATGCTGACATGGAAATGACTATGGTGGAGGGAGAAGTTTAGACTCGTGGATCCCTGGGAATAAGGGATGCAGCGCACCACGCAGGGCCACGTGGGAGCACCGAGGAGTGAGGGGGCACTGCTAGGACGCCAGCCTGTGTTGTGGCTTCCGTGGTAAGACCGCAGTGAGGCGGGACGAGCAGGCTCGGGACTGGCTGGTTAGAATAACTCGGTGGGCGCGAGTGCAGGGACCACACTTAGCTGCCTGATGCTTGGCCCTGGGCTGATTAGAGCAGGGGGTACCAGCCTGACGTGTGAGCTTGATAAAGGAGGTGGTGGTGGCTGTGGGCTCGGAATTGCTCAGCTGCATGTACGGGCACGCTGGAAGGGAGTCCTCTGCTATCTCTAAGAGTCCGCTAGCCCTAGGAGGACCGTCTCCCCACTCAGTGAGGCCTGGGTGCCACAGCATTCAGAATGCAGAAGAGGGGCCAGCGGGTGGCATAGAGGTTAAGGCACTGAATTCCCACATGGCCATCTGTGGTTGGAGTCCCAGTGGCTTGAAACACACTGGGTGCATGTGCATGCGTTCCCAAAATCCTGAGAGGAGAACAGAGGAGAAGGGATTGCCAAGAAGCCATCCCCCCTCGGAGGGTGATTTCTTGCTTTCTGTCTCTCCGTCTCTCTGGCAAGTGCACACACCCTATAGCAAAAAAATCTCTCAAAATAAAAACAACAAAACCAGACAATAGGAACATGCAGTTAATACCCTCTGCCCTGTGATGCTGAGGGGAGCCTATCTTGGCTCTAACCAGCTCAGTGGGTGGCCTTTCTGCTTCCTCCTCCAAATTCTTTTTTTTTTTTTTTGGAAGGTTTTTGCTATAGGGTGTGTGCACTCGCCAGAGAGACAGAGAGAGACAGAGAGACAGAAACTGAGAAATCACCCCCCAGGGGTGATTGCAGAAGCAATCCCTTCTGCTCCATTCTCCTCTCGGGATCTTGGGCACGCATGCACACGCACCCGGTGTGAGTTTAAGCTGCCAGGTCCAGGACTCGAACTGCAGTCAACTACATGGGAGTTCAGCGACATAGCCATATGCCAACTGCTGGTCCCCCCTCCTCCAAATTCTTGGTGTCTGCAGAGGAAAGCTTCTCTCTGAGTACCTAGCACTCATTGAGTGTCCTGGTGTGCCACTGCCTAAAAGTTACTCCCCTCTCTCCCCATTGTAACCCTGGAAGGGGTCAGCCATTATTCCTACTTTCCAGATGAGTCCTGAAGAGGGAAGGCGGCTGGACCCAGGGCGCCCAGCTGAGCTGCGAACAGGACCTCAGCGCCCGACCCCAAGGCTTGTGCTCAGAGAGAAGGGGCTTGCCACTGAGGGCTATTTCAGGAGCAGTAGGAAGAGAAGGCACCATGTGGGAAGGCTGCCCTGCACGCTTGTCAAACCCGAGGGTACAGGAGTGTTCTCAGCTGAGGGCACCCCCTCTTGGGGCCAGGCTTCGAGCTCACAAGCAAAAGCATGTGGGAAAGGCTGCTTGGTTTGCCCCTGGTCCTGTCTACTCCCCTCTCCCGGGGAGCACCTCCAACCCTGTCTCCCTGCAGCCCACCCTGCCATCCCTCTCCCCCATGTCTAAGCTGCCCAGGGTGCTGCCCTCTTTATCTGTTAGTAAATCTTACCTGCATGCCCGCGGGGGCAGCTGGCGTAAAGTCAGGCCATCTGCAACGTTCAGAGCCAGGATTCAATGGGTTTAAGCCAAAAAGATACTACTGGCTCCTGATTGCCCATCTGAGGAAAAGCTGGGGAAGGAGTTGGTCTTCAGGTTTGGGGTGCCACTCTCTACTCCTCTTCACCCTTTTCTCCAGCACTAGCACTGGGGTCTGTGGGCTTTATATCCTTACATCCTTGGGCCAAAAGTTTCTCCTTTAAATCCTGTCAAAAAATCCCAGAGAAGAACTCTGATTGGCCTACTTTGGGTCACATGTTTTTTTTTCTGGACCAGTCAGTGGCAAGGGGGATGGAGTGTTATGATTGGTCCAGACTGAGTCATGTGCCTTACATGGGACAGGGTAAGATCTGTTACCAAAAGAAGATATTTCTGGAGAACTATGAGGCAATGGATTATAGTATTCTCTACCCTCTTATCAAGTGACACGTTTTACCTTTTAAGGGACTTCTGAGGGTAGACTGCCCTGGGGCAAGGAGTGGAATGGTGGGAATTTCAGGCACTATGACAAGTTAATGGAAATATGTTTGGCTTGGGAGGAACTTAGATTCTAGGCTTAAAAATTACCCCATCTTCCCCCCCACAGCAGTATTTCACCAGTACATTCCAAGTGAAAAGCTTTAGCATACATATACTGTATTTTAGAGTGGTGTAGGAGTTTATGCTCCTGAAATTAGAATGCATTTTATAATTGCAGTGCATATTTAATGTGTTACCAGGCAGAGTACATAGTTTAAAAAAACGACAGCTCTTTCATGAGATGGTTAGTCTGGCTCTTGTTCTCCTGGTTCCTAGTTATGTGACAAATGACTAAACATGGCCGAACTCCATTTCCTAGGAGCCAGTGACAATGTCGACCCCCATAGTTATTGTGAAGAATAGATCTGAGCACAAATATGTCTGAGGAAAAGTACAGAAAGGTCTCAATACGTATTAGCTGTTATTTTTATTTATAAATCCCCAAAGCTGAAATGAATGGTTTTAGAGTTGGGGTTCTTGACTGGAAGCCACAGAAACGGACTCGTAAAGAGAAGGGGGTTTTGAGGAGGACTATCAGGACTCCCAGAATTCATGGGAAGCCAGAGCCTCTGTGTTGCTACATGAGCAGAACAGAAGTAGAGGGGAGGCCGAGAATAGGGAGGCAGAACAACCATCAGACTCAGAACCCACCCGGTCATTTCAAACTGTAGTACTGAATACAGGGAGTTGGTTACTGGGATGTTGAAAGGACTGAGGAAAGGAGTGAAAGCCAGAACAGGGTTGCTGTCTGCAGGAGCGGAAGCTGCTGCCGCTTCATTGGCTGAACCTCACGTGCCCCCGAGACCCCGGAGGTGCTGTCACTCTGCTGTTGGAGCCTCCTTTCTGTAGCTGACTAGGAATCCTGGCGTCCTACTCCCATAGGTGCAACGAAAAAGGCCTCCAAGGCTCCTGGAAGCCCCCTGCATTCAGTCTCAGTTTGCTGCTAAGAACTATTGCCAGAGCCCTGGCAGAAATGGCTTCTCCCCTCTTTCCTCTTCAGATTTCTGCTGAGTCTGTTTCATTGGCAGATCCTGTCAGGAGGCCATTGCCAAGAACACTGCGAGTTTTCAGATTCCCACACAGAACGGTACAGAGGAAGGGAGATGGGCGAGTACAGGGGCGAGAGGCAAAGGACGCTACCTGGCTTTTATTTTTTTAAAAAGAATTATTTAATTTTATTAATTATTAGTTTTTAATTTGCTATAGAGCATGTGCACTCACGAGAGAGAGAGAGAGAGAGAGAGAGAAAGTGAGAAAGCAAGCTGCCAGGTCCAAGACTCAAACTACGGTCAGCTATGTAGGAGTCTGGCACCTTAACCACCACGCCACCTGCCGGCCCCTACTATTTGGCTTTTCAGCTTTTGTCCTTATCGGGAATAATTGAGCCTGGACACTTTTGCCGTGACCATGCCACTTCAAATGCCATGCTCTTTGTAGGTGCGCCTGGCACATGCCAGTCGGCAGGGGGTGGTGAGAGGGAGAATAGAGCCCAGTTGAGCTTTGGGGAGGGTGGGGTCCCGAGTCTCCCAGCAGCGTGAACCGGGGGTGGTTTCCCAAACTGAGGTGTGGGCAGGTGCTGGGGAGCCTCCCAGAAGACAAATGTTTAACTTGATGAAGCATTTTGCAATTGCCAGAGACTTAAAACACGTGGGAAGGTGCTGCCATTTTTACCAGCCCATGGTGGAGGCGAGACCTGGAAGGTGGTGGGTTGTCGAGAGGCAGGGACTGGCCCATGATGGCCTGGGACGTGGTGAGGGGTGGGACTGCCCACCCCGAGCTCTTTAATCTACATGTGGCTTCGATGTGTGCACGGATGACTGGGCTGGGCCACGGCACTCCTACCTGCTGGGCTGCCACGTGCAGGCAGAGGGAGGACAGGGCCACGGCCACGAGAGCCACCTGCACCCACTGTGCGCCCCAGGCCAGCCTGCTTTGGGCACTGCTCAAAGTTCTCCCGACAGCACTTCAGGCCCATATGACTACTGCCAGCCTCCTTCTTTCACAAAAACAAAATTTAAAGGAAGATGTATTTCATTTATTATTTTAATTTAACCAGAGAGAGAGAAAGTAAGCTGTCAGGTCCGGGGCTTAAACCATGGTCTACCATGTGGGAGTCCAGCACCTTAACTGCCACGCTGCCCATGAGCCCCAACCACCATCCTTGTTTCACAGAGGAGGAGATGAGGCACAGAGTGGTTAAAGGAAGTCCTCTGAAACACAGCTGGCAGGAGAAGCCAGACGTCAGCGTCCGATCTGCTGGGTTCCACCTGCTGCCGCTTCATTGGCTGAACCTCACGTGCCCCCGAGACCCCGGAGGTGCTGTCACTCTGCTGTTGGAGCCTCCTTTCTGTAGCTGACTAGGAATCCTGGCGTCCTACTCCCATAGGTGCAACGAAAAAGGCCTCCAAGGCTCCTGGAAGCCCCCTGCATTCAGTCTCAGTTTGCTGCTAAGAACTATTGCCAGAGCCCTGGCAGAAATGGCTTCTCCCCTCTTTCCTCTTCAGATTTCTGCTGAGTCTGTTTCATTGGCAGATCCTGTCAGGAGGCCATTGCCAAGAACACTGCGAGTTTTCAGATTCCCACACAGAACGGTACAGAGGAAGGGAGATGGGAGAGTACAGGGGCGAGAGGCAAAGGACGCTATCTGGCTTTTATTTTTTTAAAAAGAATTATTTAATTTTATTAATTATTAGTTTTTAATTTGCTATAGAGCATGTGCACTCACGAGAGAGAGAGAGAGAGAGAGAGAGAAAGTGAGAAAGCAAGCTGCCAGGTCCAAGACTCAAACTACGGTCAGCTATGTAGGAGTCTGGCACCTTAACCACCACGCCACCTGCCGGCCCCTACTATTTGGCTTTTCAGCTTTTGTCCTTATCGGGAATAATTGAGCCTGGACACTTTTGCCGTGACCATGCCACTTCAAATGCCATGCTCTTTGTAGGTGCGCCTGGCATATGCCAGTCAGCAGGGGGTGGTGAGAGGGAGAATAGAGCCCAGTTGAGCTTTGGGGAGGGTGGGGGCCCGAGTCTCCCAGCAGCGTGAACCGGGGGTGGTTTCCCAAACTGAGGTGTGGGCAGGTGCTGGGGAGCCTCCCAGAAGACAAATGTTTAACTTGATGAAGCATTTTGCAATTGCCAGAGACTTAAAACACGTGGGAAGGTGCTGCCATTTTTACCAGCCCATGGTGGAGGCGAGACCTGGAAGGTGGTGGGTTGTCGAGAGGCAGGGACTGGCCCATGATGGCCTGGGACGTGGTGAGGGGTGGGACTGCCCACCCCGAGCTCTTTAATCTACATGTGGCTTCGATGTGTGCACGGATGACTGGGCTGGGCCACGGCACTCCTACCTGCTGGGCTGCCACGTGCAGGCAGAGGGAGGACAGGGCCACGGCCACGAGAGCCACCTGCACCCACTGTGCGCCCCAGGCCAGCCTGCTTTGGGCACTGCTCAAAGTTCTCCCGACAGCACTTCAGGCCCATATGACTACTGCCAGCCTCCTTCTTTCACAAAAACAAAATTTAAAGGAAGATGTATTTCATTTATTATTTTAATTTAACCAGAGAGAGAGAAAGTAAGCTGTCAGGTCCGGGGCTTAAACCATGGTCTACCATGTGGGAGTCCAGCACCTTAACTGCCACGCTGCCCATGAGCCCCAACCACCATCCTTGTTTCACAGAGGAGGAGATGAGGCACAGAGTGGTTAAAGGAAGTCCTCTGAAACACAGCTGGCAGGAGAAGCCAGACGTCAGCGTCCGATCTGCTGGGTTCCAGGGCCAGCATTTAAAGCTAAGGCCTGGGGAGGGGAAGTGAGTCCCTCAGGGTTTTCCGGCCCATGGTGGAGGCGAGACCTGGACCTCTGCAGGGGAGGGGCGATGCTTAAGCTCCCAGCCCTCAGAACGAACACGGAGTCATGGGTTAATTGAGGCAGGCGGCATTTCGGGTGGAATACAAAGGTCGTGAGGAAGTGGGTCACCCTGGGCACTTGTAAAATGACCTGTCCACCCTGTTACCTGCCCCATAAGCCTCTCCCTCTCACTGAGGGTGTATAAAGGGCTAGAGAAGGAGGGTTTGAGAGGAGCTGGCCTGGGAGCCCCACCATGCCCCTAAGAGCGTTTTTTCTTTTACATAAAAAGGAGGAATTTCAACAGACCACCCAGAAGCTTGATCGTGGACAGTGTCTGGTTCTCACCTAGAAAATCCGCAAGGTAAGAATATCTCACTGATCTGGCCAAGTGACCCTACAGCAGACTCGAAGCTGCGTCGATGCTGCGCTGGGATGGGCCAAATTTCTGCAGTTTTTTGGGAAGACATTTGATTGCTTCCCATGAACTTTTTTTTTTTTTTTGTAATAGGGTTTAACCACAGGGCGTGTGTGCTGACTGGGGAGAGAGACAGAGACAGTGAGAGCAAAAGGAGAAATCACCCTCCTGGGGGGTGGCCGTGCCACAATCCCTTCTCCATTCTCCTCCCAGCATCTTGGGCACACATGCACATGCACCCAGTGTGAGTCTCAAGCCACCAGGTCCAGGACGCAAAACCATGGTCGGCCATGTGGGAGTCCAGCGACGTAACCGCTCTGCTGTCTGCTGGTCCCCATGAGCTATTACTAGAGGGGACTTACTTGGGA